ACACTGTTACCAGCGATCGGGGGATTAATATCTTAGAACAAATGCGTTTCCCAACCGGGTGTTGAGGAACTGTGGTAGAAATAAGTACAGTCTATTTAGAGTGTGACTATGTAGAGAGAAAAAAGAGTGCATTTTTTTAATAATTTCACTCGAGCGACGTCACAACTTTGGCGTCCCGGTCAGTTGTTATCTCTCATTGTCGTAGTGCCAGGGGCTGTTTTAGAGTTCATGTCTGTTTATAAATATTCATGAAGCAATCGCAGCTGTTCTGAGAATTATTCGGACAATCAGTTAACAATATATCTTGGAACTTTGCAAAACACTTTCCCAATCTAGTCTTGATTGCGCCGTTGTGTTGACACGCCCACAATTGGGACCATTTCATAATCTTGCTAGATGCGGGTAAAACGTTGTTTTCATAACGTCACGCCTGGTTACAATAAAATAACAGGTTATACGTGGCATATGCGTTCAAAGTGTTATATTTTAATTTTAAATTGTTATAATTATATAAGTCCACTTGACATAACACAATTTACAAATCAACTCCCTAGTGTTGAGTAACCCCAGGTATTAATGAATTCATTGGCGCCGCTGCACAATTAGGTGCGTTCGGACATTTAAACTCACACATTCACAAGATAATAACGGTGTGAAATATGTCTGTTTTTTTTTAGAAAATGCTTTGTCACAGAATAATAGTCTGTGGAATAGTATGAAATAGTTATGGGACAAAAACAACAAACCTGCATTGAAATCGAAAAAAATGGGTCTTTTGATTACCGGGGACACATTTCAATGAACTTGATAACGGAAATGCATGGCGCAAATTTCAAGCGGAAATACCGCTGTGAGCTCTCGCAATCGCGGATTTAGTCATTTTTAAAAGGTTCGCAATTTTGTTGGTACCTGGTAATTGAGTGAACAATGAATGTCCGGTTAGTGCGAACTTGTTTCTCTATATTTAGGCTTTTGAATTATAAATTCTTAAGTATGGTTCTGAATGAAATAACAGGCAGAGAACACTTTATTCAAAAAACATCGTCAAACCCTTCTCACTACCATAACGTGACCATGGAAGGTACTCCTTCCATGTGGTGACAATAGCATAACCCCAGACTAGTAATATTACGAGTCTGATGCATTACGGTCCAGTGGCCAACATCCTGTGTGTATTGCAAACAAATAGCATAGCGCCGGTCGGCAATTTTTTATTCTGGTCGGAAATTCTGAATGGCGGATTCTAGCAGGGAGCGTGGGCAGATTTTTGAAAAAATAACGAACGAAGAAATCGATAGGTAAAAAGGTGTTTGAGTAATATTCTCAAACATAAAACGCAACTAGATGAGTTTTCAGTAGATCAATGTACTCACGTGACACTACTTTCCCGAATTAGGTTTGTGCAGGGAGCTGGTTCGTGTAAACTACTTCCTTGGGGAAGCCCCTTTCGTTTTCGCACCCCAGGCCACGACACCGAATCTATTCACACTACCTGCCTAGACTTCGTACTTGATATGGTTGCACATTTGTCGTTATTTTGCGCAAAGTAATGACAGACGAAACAGCGTTAATTTTTGACATAGAAAAAAGGAAGATAGAACAGTGGTGGACGGTGGACTAATCAGAATATTGGAATCAATCCTCCGTACTGGCATTTTGTGGTTCTTTGCTAAGACCGATATAGAAAATAAATGTAGTAGTCCAGATAATCGTGTTGTAATTATTCAATATATACGTTAAAACAAAACATCCTTTCCCATATATATACATTGTGCGTGGACGTTTTGGGACGAGGTGAAACTTTAAATTCCCATGATTGAATAGTGTAACGAAAGAGACGCTGGAAGCAATGTCAGAGTTGTTTCGTCGAAATGAGTTTGAGAACCTTCAAACCGTTTGGGTCCGCTTCTTGGCACATGCCAAGTTATGCCCGTCTAATCGTTTAACAGGGGAGGGAATTTACAAAAAAAGAATAGCAGGCTGCATATAAACTTGAACAAATAATGATTTTTTTCTCGATGTCAAACCGGTTGCTATGTTTTAATTGTATGGAACAATGCATTCTGTTTGTCCAATGCGATAAACTTAACGCTAGCTATTGTACACTATTGTCCGAGACTCATTCTCGCCGCCAGAGTTTATTTCCGCTTCGAGACTCGACGGAATATATCTGCGTAGGCTTGGCGCAAAAGAGGCCGGGGCCATGGCGTACGACGATGGCTCAAGCAAGCCTGTAAGGCTGTATGTTAAACCATGGAGCTCCATGGTTAAACGTACGATGCATAAAACGCGTCGACGTGTTCACAATACCAACTATTATCAGCTCATTACCGACTGGCACCGAACCAATTCTGTCGTCGTATCGCTTATTTGGAATAAGAGACGTGTTTTAAGAGCAGGTTAAAACTTCCACCACTATTCGAGTGAAGTCTGTCACATTGTATTGTTTAACTGAAGAATGACATCTCTTGGTGTGTGAATTGAGTCTTATCCACTTAACATCCACAAACCACCAACTATTAATTGCAGCGGATTTCTTAATTTGTAATATTACAATAAATGCGGAGCAAAAAATGATATTATTATGGGCGGGTGCTCAGCACTGCCAATTCAAATCATACTTTTGACGAAATGGTCTCTCGACGAAATATGCATCGGGATAAAGCATTATGTATGTAGTTTCTACCAACGAACATTTTAATTACAATTTTTCTATTCGTTTTTATCCTCAGACGGAAGTGGAATAGTCTCACTCTTTCGGTTATAATTTGTGCATAGTATACTGTTCTAGACCAATCAGATCTTGGTTAGACCACACATATTTCATAGGCACTTAGTTGGCACTTGCATGTAGATCCACATCCTCTAATGGACCATTATATTTTTTATCAAGGTATTGGATGATTTTGAGCAGGCACATTACATTGACATTACAAGAAATACACATTTTAAATTTAAATATTTTATTATATTATTAACAGTTCCATAATGTCTCTCACACGGGCATAGCTGTGCCAAGGCAATTATACAAACCAGTGCCACTACACATTCACTGTGCATTTAATCAAAGTCCCTCTTCACTAGAGTAGTGCACTAGATATGAACTTCGAATATAATTTATTCCAGGGACGTAACGACCAACGTATTTTATTTACGAATTGTACAGCTACCAGTCTACAGCCTTTTCACATCAGCATCCGTTACGTGCACATTGTGGGATTTCGGCACGTGCCGACATTT